GCATCAACAATGGAAGTGGAGAACATAGTCCACTCAGACTCAATGTCTCCAGCCTCCCTCGGGACCTGTTCAAAACTCTCCCGGAGGTGGGAGTTGAAGGCCCCCCTCACCGGGGATTCTGCCAGACGTTCCCAACAGACCCTCACGATACGTTTGGGTCTGCCAGGTCTATCCAGCTTTGCCCCCCGTAAGCGGAGCCAACACACCACCAGTGATCACACCAGGTGGTGATCAGGTGACAGCTCAGCCCCTCTCTTCACCCTAGTGTCCAATACATACGGCCGGATGTCAGATGACACAACTACAAAGTCGATCATTGACCTCCAGCCTAGGGTGTCCTGGTGCTAAGTGCACTGATGGACACCCTTATGTTTGAACATGGTGTTTGTTATGGACAAACTGTGACTATAGCACAGAAGTCCAATAACAAAACACCACTCGGATTTAGATTGGGTAGGCCGTTCTTCCCAATCACGCCCCTCCAGGTGTCACTGTCGTTGCCCACGTGGGCGTTGAAGTCCCCCAACAGGACGATGGAATCCCCGGGAGGAGCACTGTCCAGTACCCCTCCCAGTGTCTGCAAGAAGGCCGGGTATTCTACACTGCTATTCAGCCCGTAGGCCGAAACAACAGTGAGGCACCTGTCCCTGACCCGAAAGTGCAGGAAAGTGACCCTCTCGCTCAGTGGGGAGAACTCCAACACACGACTGGCAAGCTGGGGGGCTATAAGTAAGCCTACACCAGCACGCCGTCTCTCACCGCGAGCAACTCCAGAGTAGAAAAGAGTCCAGCCTCTCTCAAGGAGTTGGGTCCCAGAGCCCAGACTGTGCGTCTAGTCGGTATCGCTCAACCTCCCGCACAAGCTCAGGCTCTTTTCCCCCCAGCAAGGTGACATTCCATGTCCCCATAGCCAGAGTGGTTGTCCAGGGATTGGGCCGTCGGGGTCTCCGCCCACAACCACCACCCAAATCACAAGGCACCGGCCCCTTGTGGGCCTTCCTGTGGGTGGTGGGCCCACTGGAAAGCGGGCTCACGTCGCTTGTTCGGGCTGAGCCCGGCCGAGTCCCGTGAGCAAGTACCCGCTCACCAGGCGCTCGCCTGTGATCCCCAACCTCTGGCCTGGCTCCAGGGTGGGTTCCCGGTGATGTCAATCCGGGGGACGTGAACCTCTTTGATTTAATTTTTTTCTTCATCAAGGGGGATTTAAACCGCTATTTTTCTGATCCGTCGCCTAGGACCTGTTTGCCTTGGGAGACCCTACCAGGGGTATTAAGCCCCCGACAACATAGCTCCTAGGTTCATTCGGATACTCAAACCCATCCACTACGTTAAGGTTGCGATTCAAGCAGGGGATTATTTAATCAATTAAATCTTATTTCAAGAATATAAACAAACGCAATCAAATTATCGTTTAAATACAGCATTGACACAGTGAATATTCTGATGGTACACACTCAAAAACAAGCTGAATATTATATATAACAAATGTTAAACATGAGTTACTTGTTAGAATTAATTAATTAGAATTAATTTCATACCAGTAGGCGGCAGTAAAGTATCGTAAAGAAAGTAGAACAACCATCAATGTCCTGTGAAAAAAAGAAAGTGTAGCCAAGTGATGGAATAGTGTTAGTGATAAAGCTCTAATTTTGTGTTTGTTTATTTGTTGTATCATAATGTAATTCTGTATAAATCAAGATTTTTGCATATACATTTAAACTGCTTCTTGTTCGTCTTTGTTCAGTAATTAGCTAAAGCCCATGTCACATTTAGACACATTTGTACAAAATGTTTTAATTCTTCATTTTACCACAACATTTTTTTTATTTTAATTACTTAATAAACATAGCCGATTCTTCCCGTTATGCCAAAATTGACTCCTTTCAGCTGTCATCCTGGGAATTGCAGTACTGCCCCCTAGTCTTTGCAGATATGCACACCACCACGCACATCATTAAGGTCACTAAAAACAAGACATTAGCAGACATTAATATTTTATGATTTCACGTTTTATTTTTCACTAAAATATCTGCATACTCTACTTTTAATGAGTGCCTTCTGCAGGGGGAAGTTAATTTCCTCTGAATTGCCAAATTACCAACAAACCCTTTATATAGGATACATAACATAACATAACATAACATAACATAACATAACATAACATAACATAACATAACATAACATAACATAACATAACATAACATAACATAACATAACATAACATAACATAACATAACATAACATTTTTTTCCTGAAGTAACGTTCCTAAATGTGGCTCTAACAGTAGCATGTTCGTGAACACTGGTGATGTCATTGCAGCTGCTGCTCGTTAGCAAATGTCTCCCTCTAGTGTATAAGAATGCTGACGTGTATTTTCTGGTCCCAGTGACAGGACAGTTCTGCACTCTTGAGATGTAGCTTTGCTTGAGTGACAATGTCACTTGTCATTTGTCATACCACGGATGTCATCAGACACTTCAGTTATATCTCTATATGTGTTTGTAAATAAATATCCTGCTTATACACACAAGTTGTAAAGGAATTTAGTTTAACTGTTCAAATGCTGGGGATTTAATTTTTTTTTTCTGTTGCTCTTCATTTTAACTGTAGTTGTGCATTTGAAGGCTGTTATATTACATACAAAATGACGGTGTACCAAAAGTATATTTTAAAAAAATGTAGCATTTGAACATTTTTTTTCCATATTACTGATATGAAGAAGGTTATGCTGCATGCACACAACATCTGCATGTAGTGCATGTCTGACAGGACCCTCCTGTTTTACTGCTCTCTAGAAGTGTCAGGCGTCTGAATCAGGGTCTTGAATTAAAAACTTCACGTCAATTAATTATAATCAATCTGTTGACTGGTACATAAAACAATACTGGTATTTTCTTGTTACACAGTAGCAGTGTTTAAAACAAACAGTTGAACCAGTAGAACCTGACTGTAGGAAAATAAATGACATTCTAAAATTATTATTATTGTGTATTTGTTTGTGTCTATGTTAAATTATTTGTATGCATTTTACATGTAGTGGCAGAGAAAATAAATTAATCATGCCTCAAGTCTGAAATAGCCTGTGTGTTCACTGACCAGACATTCTTTTTTGTTTGCTGTCTATGAAGATTCTCAGTCATCCAGGTCATGGTCAAGGTTTTAAAAAGTTCTGTTAGGCAACTGGACGTGAATTTTCTAAAAGACGATGTTTCACCTCTA